AAATCACTAGCATCAACGAGACCCCCGACTCCCAGGCCACATGTCTCGGTTAAGTCAAGTCTCTTGAAACAAAACGAAGCTCCTTTGGAGATACTGAGACCAAAGAACTAACTTAAAGCACACGGTCTTTGTCAGCAGTTCCTGTATGTTTCTTGAGATGGGATTTGAGAGGCTTTGCTCTGCAGTTAGGAGCACTTGTTGCTCTTGCAGAAGACCCGAGTTTGGCTCCCAGCACCACATCAAGCAGCTCACAGCCACCTATAACTTCAGCTCTGGTCTCAGTGGTCCCTTGCACACATGTTACACACACACACACACACTCACAGATCGAGAGAGAAAAAAATAAATTGTTTAAAAATAAGTGGTTTGAGTTATAGAGTTAAGGAATTAAAATATATGCATAAAAGTAAATCAACAGATGCTTATAACACCTTCATTGTTACATTGTTTAACACACACTGGGCTCAATGGAGCACATCTTTAATCTCAGCAACTTGGGAAGAAGAGGCAAGTGGATCTCTGAGTTTGAAACCAGCCTGGTCTACATTGAGAGTTAGAGGCTAGCCAGGGTCACATAGTGAGACCTTGTCTTAAAGCAAAACAAAACCTGTACGTTGATTTACACCTTTTATTACAGAAATAATATATATATGTATATATATATATATTTGTATATAAAGAAACAGCATAGTAACTCCTGAGTGCGTGTTACAGATTGAGCTAGGGAGAAATAGTTTTATTGTCTGTCTGCTCCCAACATGTACAGACACATACATATATACACATGCACTTAACATGCATGCATACCTTTCTCCTTCCCACCTTCCTTTGTGCGATTGTCTTCTTGATTTGCAGTGTTTGTTTGTTTGAAGCGGGAGCCTCTGTATAGCCCAGTGTGGTCTCAAACACTGCATCCTCCTGCCTCTGTCTCCTGAGTGCTGGGGTCACAGTGCTCCACACATTACTACACTCTGTTCATAAGATCAAACCCCACATATGGAAACACACGAGTGGACTAAAGGCCTAAGCTAGTTGTTCTAACCATTTGCTTAGCTGCCTCTTTCCAAGCCTGACTTCAAGCTGCGCATTCGTGTTTGCGTGCTGTGAGGGCATGGTCATTGGGAAAGGCCAGCGGGAAGCCAGTGTTGGCCTTCCTGATGAAAAGCCACTTCTGTGAGCTCCAGGTAGTGATAAAAAACCTCCTGAGCATTCATCTGCCGTCTAAAGGGTCAGGGTGACATCGTGACCCCATGTGGCCGTTTGTCAGCACATACACATGGATTTCTAGCGAGGCTCTGGGGACCTTGATGGTGACAGTATTTCTCATGGCTTTTGCCCCTTCCCTCTCCACAGCCTCTGCAGCTCTCCAGGAACCGATGGCCACGAACACAACCCAGGTGAACCACCGTTTGTTCCTTTGCATTGTTGGTAACACACTTCCTGGCCAGTCATTTTTGCTCATCTGATCATGCCCTCACGTTCCTTGCGTCATGTTTTTACTGTTTCAGGAGTTGTTTTCACCAGGGATGTCACATGAGTGTGGGTTTCCTGGAAACTGTCGACATGCTCTTCCTTTCCACCGTATGTCTTCCCTTGTGTGACACATATGTTAATAATTTCTAGCACACCTTCTACATACTTAAACAATAATAACTTGAAGTTGAATATACATTTTTCTGATCAGTTTTGCATTCCTTTCTAGGGTATTGAATGGCAAAGTGGTAACAGCTGATCAGCTGTAATACTATGATTTTAAAACTTACTTATGTGTGTGGTGGGAGGAGTGTGTACATGCCAGGAGGTCAGAGGACAACTTGTGGCAGTTAGTTCTCTTTCCACTCTCCAGGTCATAGGGGCCAAATTCAGGTGGTCAGTCTTGGTGGCAAGCTCCCTTACCCATTGAGCCAGCTCGCCGGTCCCATCTGTAGTATTATGTACGGTGTGCAATGTTCTAGTCACTGCTAATTTCCCCCCTGGATTAGTTTCTAAGGGTCTGACAGCACTATTGATTGCACACTTTTATTATACCCTTTACACTGAGGGCTATAGACAGTTAGATCAGCTTTTCATATGAAATAATCCCAAGGTTGCATCTTAGATGCTCGACCAAATGGAGAGCACCTCAAGTCCAAGTTCTTTTTCTTTTTTTAAAGATTTTATTTATTATTGTGAATACAGTGTTCTGCCTGCATGCTAGTCAGAAGAGGATACCAAATCTCATTACAGATGGTTGTGAGCCACCATGTGGTTGCTGGGAATTGAACTCAGGACCTGTGGAAGAGCAGTCAACGCTCTTAACCTCTGAGCCATCTCTCCAGCCCTCAAGTCCAAGTTCTAAGAGCTAATTTTCATCTTTTTATGTTCTAGCTTTCCCACATGCTAAGCCTTTAAAATCTGAGTCTTTGCTCCTCCAATGCCACTGGGAGCCATGCATCTTCATTACCAACTCCAGCCCCACTGAGGTAGAAAGGGAGTTTGAGGCACTCTTTGCTGGCCGCTGGCGCTGGCACTCGTGGTGTGGCTGCTCCAGAGGAGCGGGTGTTCTGTTTACAATGGCTGATTTTATGGTTTCATCCCAGATAGCCACTGGGGGTGTGGCTTGCTTCAGCCTCAGCACCACCCCTGTAGCAGCTGTCCTTCGGGGTTTCAGGTGTTCTTGGTCTCGTTACCCACAATTCTGACTTTGTGCGAGATTGGAAGCATGTAGCCTGCATTCCACGGAGCACACCACCACTCACAGGCTGGCTTGTCTGCCTGCATGGCCTGGAGCGTCTGCCTCCATGGCCTGGCGATGGGTTTTGTTCTCTTTGGGAATCTGACGAGTTTGGATAGAGGCTATAACGTGTGCGTGTTGCGCAGCGTGACTGCTGGTCTACCCTCTGTACCCGGGTGTTTGAAATGCCTGTGTTCTGCTCAGTCCCGTGAAGGAGGGAATGCCTCAGGGAGTCTGGCTCCAGGCTCTCTGAGTACTGGAGAAAGGCGGTGTACCGCGTCACCAGGCACAGGGGGAGAACAAGAAGTGGGTGGCCCTTACGATGTAGCTGCTTTCACCTCCTCTTTCTCACCTGTCGTCTGGTGTCAGATCCTGAACCAGGCCGTCGTGCCTGCTCATCTACTCTTCCTCCGGTTTGTCCCCACAGAGAGAAGCCCTGCCACCATCCTAAAGAGTCCCTAGTTCTTCCTGCATTCTCTCCCTTCCTTCTCCTCTCTCTGGGCCACACAGAAATCCCGCCCAAGCCTCCCTCCCCTCTGCCCACTGTCTGGTTCCCTTCACTTCCAACTCCTCATCTCCAGCTTCCGCAGGAGACTTCTTCACTGAGCATTCTGTTCTCATGCTTGCCCTGAGGGTGTTGTTTTTCTATTTCTCCAAATCAACAACAAAATATTTAGCATTTCCATGCCTTTTCCTTGCTCATAGAAAACACCCATCCTTACATCAACTCAGACACACTGACTTGAATGTTTAAATGTTCTCTTCACAAACTTTTTATATCTATCTATTTATTTATTTAATTGGGGTGGGGCTGTGCTGCTGTGCACAAGTGGAGGTCAGAGGGCTGGTCTCAGAGTCAGCTTATTATTTATTTATTTATTTGCTTGTTTATTTATTTAATTGGGGTGGGGGTGTGCACAGAGGGCTGGTCAGCGCTCTTTCCTTCTACCAGATGGTTCTGAGGACCCTCTGCTTCTCCAACCTCCATGCTCAGCAGTTTGGATGCTGCTGAAGCAGGCCTGCTTTCTAAAATGTGAGTTTGTCCCTCATCTCTCTCCATAGTCCAAACTTACCTTATGTCCATCTGTCACTTGGACATCTCTACCTCAATGTCTCTCCCATCCCTAGAGTATAACACACCGAGTAACCCCTCCCTCCCCTCCCTCCCTCCCTCCTCCTCCCTCCCTCCCTCCTCCTTCCTCCTTCCTTCCTTCTCTCCCTCCTCCTCCTCCTCCCTCCCTCCTCCTCCCTCCTCCTCTGTCCTCCCTCCTTCCTTCCCTCTTATCCTTGAAGCATTCTTTGCTTTGCTCAGTCCCATCCATCTTACGTGACCCCAGCACCAAGCCCATTCACTTCCTTCAAGTTCCTTTCTTCCTCTTCCCTGGTCAACTCTATGCAGACTCCGCCCCAGCATCCTCATCCCTATTGCCCAGGCACTAAGGCTTGTTGCCAGTCTGTTACCATCGTTACCAGTCTGTTACCACAGTCTCTAAGTTCTCACTGAAACCATGTCCAAACCTGATCCCTCAGGCTGGGCTAGTCCTTTGTTCAAAGTGTTTAGTTGTGTATCTGGATTCAGCCACTAGGTGACAGCAGCACTCACTCAGTTTAGACAGTGTGATGTCCACAGACGTTGCCAGAAGTCCCTGGAGGCAGCATTAGCTGTGATGGAGAACCACTTCCTCCCTCCCTCCCTCCCCCCTTTCTTCTTTCCTTTCTTTCACCTGTAATACCAGCACTGGGGTATGTGGGTGGAGGGTGCTTACTGACAACATTTGCCTATAATACCAGCACCGGGGTGCAGAGGCAGGAGGATAGTGGCATGTGAGTGGGTGGAGGGCGCTCGTTGGCAGTTAGTACTGGGGAGATGTTTCGGTGTGTAAAAGTGCTCATTCCACAAACCTGACAGCTTGAGTTTAAATCCTGAAAACTGGTGTAAAAACCCAGGTGACATGGCACAAGCGTCAGTAATCTCAGTGTGCTCCCTACCAGGAGACAAGAGGTGGCAACAGGAAACGCTCACAGCCAGCTGGCCTGGGGTGCACAGGTTGAAGAGACCTCGTCTCAGAATAGGTGGAGAGGTGAGGACAAACATCCAAAAGGCTGTCCTCTGACCACCACACACACATTGTGGCATGTGTGGGTCTGTACATTCACACAGGAATGAGCATACATGTACGTGGACTCACGCAGAGACATACACATATATAAACATAATGTGAACACACACACACACACTTGGTGACATGTGAGCTAAAGAATAACTATACCTCCCAGCATTCAATGCTCCCAATGTCTGTAGCATAGGAATTCTCAAGTCTGCAAAATCTTTAAAGTGAACTCTCAGACTTACTCGTCTAAGTGTCCTCCACAGCCAGACCAGACCCAGCAGACACTGTTGCTTTACGAATTAGTCTGAGGGTTTGGCTGGCCTAGAGTTTCTGTGCTGATTCCATTTCTCCTCCAAGAATACACACAGAAGCTGATATGAGGTCATTTTCTGCTGGTTTCTGGTGTTGCCATGGTAACCCATTCCTTAGGTGTGTTGACCCCTCCCAATGAGTCCCCACTGTTTTCTTACAGGCACAAATGTTGTTCAAAGATGTGTCTGTGGTCTTCACTCAGAAGGAGTGGCAGTTGCTGGATACTGCCCAGAGGCGCCTGTACAGGGAGGTGATGCTGGAGACCTACAGGCACCTGCAAGCAGTGGGTAAGCCCCACCTCCCACGCTGCGCCCGCCCGTCAGCTTACATTTCTAACCTTAGAAGCCAAAAACCAGCAACAGGAGTAAAGTTTTCATCGTGGTGCTAGAAAGATGGCTTAGCACTTGCGAGTGCTTGCTGCCCCCCCCCCCCCGAGGGCTTGAGTTCAGTTCCCAGCACCCACACAGGGCAGTTCACAACTGCCTGGAGCTGCGGCTCCCCAGGGTCTGTACTTCCTGGCTGCACTCATGTGCACAGTCACTCACCAGATGCCTGCTCCTCTAGCTAAGGACTTAGCCACTGGTCTGAGCAGTGACAAGATAAACCCTTGTGGCTCCCCCTTCTCCCCCCTGAGGACTTAGCCACTGGCTTTGGTGAAACACACCACAGCCTCAACACTGCCCACCCTTCTGTTGGTCCTGAGCAGCTTTGCCAAGCCTTGTCGCCTTCCCATCACAGGGTGCAATGTCACCAAACCTGAGCTGATACGCAAGCTGGAACGAGGAGAAGGTCCTTGGGAATCTCCAGGCTGCAGCCTCTCAGGTGAGTTGATGTCAAGTAGAAGAGAGCAGAGGTTAAGTGCTGGTTGGCCAGGGCGAGGCTTGGTTCCTTTGAATGTATCTGTGGCTCAGCTGGGAGAGGGCTTGCTTAGCAGGTGCAGAGCCCCGACTTTAATCCCCCGCACAGCATAAATGGGGTGGGCATCGTGGCACAGGGCTGTAATCCCAGTGCGAAGGCAGGAGGGTCAGAAGTTCAAGGTCAGCTAGGGGCTACGTGAGACCCTGTCTCAAACAAAAGCAAACAAACAAAATAAACAACAACAACAAAAAGAATATCTTTAAGAGGTTCTAGAATTTTCAAAAAGATAAAGAGAAGTGCTCACAGCCTGATATCAAAACCCTCAAGGTACAAATGCTCTCTGTAGGCTATGGGTGGGCTCACACCTTTGATAGAAGCACTTGGGAGGTAGAGGCAGATGGACCAGCCTGGCTTACACAGAGAGTTCCAGGCCAACTAGGGCTATGCATTAAGATGCTGTCTCAATCAATCAATCTATCAATCAAAATAAAAAATCTTTGTCTCTGTTCCACCCACCGTGACTATCACTTGTATCGCCCCCAGCGCCGATTGCTCTGGGTGTGCATTCATTCGTGTGTTCCTCTATTTGACAAATGTTTGTTAAGTGCCTGTCAGGGACAGTTCCATTCTAGCACGAAGGACACAGAGGCACAATCTTGACTCTGGTGAAGAGGTTCAGGTAGCAAATCTGTACAGGTGAGGGCCAGTAGCTGTCAGGACTGCTAGGATCCAAGTCAGATGATGGCAAGGGAGACGGCCAAGGTGTTTCCAAGAGGTCCTGAAGCCTCCCCGAGGAAATGAACATCCGCACAGGAGTGATGGGTGGGGTGTTGAGTGGCGTGAGGTTATCTGAGAGGTCTCCATCCGTGCCAGGGGAGAAGCAGGTGCCAAGCCAGAGACAGGCAGTATGCTTAGTGTGGTAAGCAACAACAGTGAAGTTGGTGGGACCGAGGGGTGGTGGGTTCAGGTAAAGACGGGTTTAGAGTTAGCTGGAGACTTCGCTGGGGGTGGTCACAGGCATACAGAATTCACACTGTACAGAGTGAGGTGACAGATGAGAGAGCAGGCTATGGACAGCACCTCGTGACTGAGCTTAGAAATCAGGAATGCAGGCTACAGCACCCCAGCAAGGGAGACGGCAAAGGGCCGCCCATCTAGGGTGGGAGAGGGAACCAGAGAATAAACTCAGAAGCAAGGAGATAGTGTTAAATGGAAGGGGTGACTCTCAATACAGATGAAAGTGTAAAGTTTGCCGTGGATCGTAGCCATGAGGAAAATGAAAACAAGTAGGTACCAGCTCCATTTGCAATGGAAGATGAAGGCGCCAGAAAGCACAAAGTAATAGTAATAGTAATAATAATAATAATGTGTGAAACTTTCAAAAGCAATAAAAATGAGGCTTAGAGAGCCTGCCTCAAAAACAAAAAATTACATAAATGAATAAAAAATAAAGAATCCAAGAGTTGGTATAAAACCCTGCATGCAAGTGTACAGTAGCACCTTGATTAATAGCTGTCAAAATTCTCAAGCAGCCAGTACACCCTTCAGGAGATGGATAAATAAGCAGAGTGGGAACAGGCAGTGGAGACAGTCAGCTCCCAATAGCAAGGTATGATGCTGTGGAGATAGGTAAGCACCTTAAGTTTCATTCATAAGTGGTATGCGATAATAAAGGAAAAGCAAAGCTATTAAGAGAGTAGAATAGGTCAGGTTTGGTGATGCACACCTTTGATCCCAGCACTCCTAGGGGCAGAGGCAGGAGGATTTCTGTGAGTCCAGAACAGCTAGGAATACGTAGATTAGTGGTTCCCAACATTTTTAAGGCTCTGATCCTTTAATATAGCACCTCATAATGTGGTGACCTCTAACCATAAAATTATTTTCATTGTTACTTCCTAATTATAGTTTTGCTACTGTTATAAGTAGTAATATAAATATCTGATATACAGGGTGTCTGATATGTGACCTCCAAAGGGATTGAGACCCACAGCTTGAGAACCACTGACTTAGAGAGACTCTGTCTCAAAAAGATAAAAATTGGTGAGTAAGGAGATCAGTGGTAGCCAGGGCCTGAGGCAGGTGTGGCCAGGCAGAGCACACAGGGCTTTCAGGGCAGTGAAACCGGTCCATGTGTTTTACTATAATGGTGGACTCCTGCCATTGTGCGTTTGTCCCTTCCCACAGAATGTATAACAGTGACTGTGGGACTCAGGGTAAACTGAAGACTTTGGGTAAATGTGATGGCAAAAATAGAACCATTTTGGAGAAGATGTCTATAGTTGGAGACTGTCTTTTTGCTGGGTTTTTTTTTTCTGTTGCTGTGATTAAAATACCCCGACAGAAACAATTCAAGGACAGAAAGGTTTATTTCAGCTCACATTCAAGGTCTAGTCCTTCACAGCAGGAGCATCATAGATCATAGTAGAGGGAGCTTGAAGCAGCTGGTCATGTGACATCCACAGTCAGTAACTCACCCTAGTACTAACTCCTTTCCTCATTTTACACAGTCCAGGATTAACGACAGAATCTATAGTGCGTGTCTCCCCATGACAGCAGGCCCAGCCTAGCACTGACCTTCAGGCCTGAGAGAATGAGTGATTTCATGAGTTTACTTGGGTGTTGGTGAGCAGAGCAGAACAGCGAAGATGGGAAGCAGGGAGAATGTCTTGGTGATCCTCCTGCAGAGATTAGGTCTGAGGCTCCTACTGGGCTGCACATCTCTTGGGGGCCTTTCAGTCCTCTGAGTTCACTGTCAAGCATTTGTTTCCTGCCTTTGCCTCGTTCTTTAAGGCCCTCCATCCATGGATGAGTCCTTTGTCTGGCATTCTTTGTTCCCAGTTATGTTTTATTTCAAGCTCTCTGCCCTTTGCTGGTAATATTTGTAACAAACCAAAGCTACTGATGTTATTTTCTTCATTCTCTTCCCATTTCTACTCCAATGTACATCTTTGTCTTTGTTTTTGTATTACCCAATGAAAAGACTAGATGAAATGCCTGCTTAGAATGGTAGAATGGTTGCTTTCCCAGGAGAGTATGTCAGAAACCCAGAATCAAGTTGGCATAAGACATTTGTGTACAGTCCCTTTTCTTTAACGTTGTATTTAGATTAGATGTATAATATATGGTCAATTTCTCATGTTTCTAGAAGTCCAGAGGGCCAATAACATGACAACAAGTGAAGAAAATGAAGACAAACATTTGAGTCGAGTTTTATTTGTCAACAACAAAACACTAACTAAGAAAAGAAGCAAGGCTCTAAAAGAAATAGTTTATCTGGCTACAGACTCAGTGAACACAAGAGAAATACATTGTAAGTGTTATTCAACTGAAACAAGCTTGGAAAATGTTGCAGGATTAATTACTGACAACAGAAACTATGCAACAAAAAAGTGTGATGCTTTAGGTGGGTCTATGTTCCTTGAGTCTAAGCATGAAAAAACTCATATAGGATGCAAAAATTGTGAAAGTGATGAAAAGAAGAAACTCCACAGTCCTATAGAGGGTCGTACTCAACATCAAAAGCCCTTGTATTTGGAGAAACTCCTTGAATATAAAAATTGTGGGAAGAGCTCACAGAGAAAGACAGCCTCTGTTATTCATGAGATAGTTCACACAGGACAGGAGCCCTCTCAGGATGGGAAATGCATGCAAGACACTGCCCACAAGATCAGGTTCCAGTATTTTCTAAGAACTCTTAGAGAGAGGAAGGCACAAGAGGCCAGCAAAGGTGGAAAACCCTCGTGTGTGAAGTCAAAACATGAACATCGGAGAACTCACATAAGGGAAAAACACTGCGAATGTGATACGCATGAGAAATCCTTCAGTGAGAAATCTGATCGTACCAGACATGAGAGAACACAACCAGGAGGAAGGCCTGACAAGTGTGATGTAAGTGAGAAAGCCTTAAGAAACTCACCCCACATCCAAAATGAGATCCATGGCTGTGGGAAATGTAGGGAAACCCTTCTCGGAAAGCCATGCCTTACTCAGAACCAGAGAACTTGCACAACAGAAAAGCCTAAGCGTGTGGACAGCCAAACAGCCTTAAAGAAGTCATGTTCAACCCTAAGTCAGAGAACTAGCCCAAGAGGGAAAAACTGCGAAGGCAGTGAGTGTGAGGAATCCCCAGCCCCCTTCTCCAAGGAATTGAAATGCACTCAGCATCAGAGATCGTCCTTGGAGGAGACATGTGACGAGTGTGAGGGAAGTGAGAAGTCACCCCTCGGTGACAATCAGAGCAAAGAACAGAAAGTCTGTGGGTGTCACCAATGTGAAGAGGGCTGTCCTAAGAAAGGTCTTACTCAACACCAGAGCGCAAACCCAGGGAAAAAACCCTATGCGTGCAATGAGTGTGACAAATCCTTCTTGGTTAAGTCAAACCTCACTGAACACCAGAGAACTCATACTGGAGAAAAACCGTATGAATGCAACGAATGTGGGAAGTCCTTCTGCCAAAAATCCGCCCTCAAGGTACACCAGAGAACTCACACAGGAGAAAAACCATTTAAATGCAACGAATGTGGGAAAACCTTCTGCGTGAAATCTAACCTTACCCAACACCAAAGGACTCACACAGGAGAGAAGCCGTACAAGTGCAGTGAATGCTGGAGATCTTTCTGTGTCAAGTCCAACCTCGTTGTGCATCAAAGAACTCACACAGGAGAAAAACCCTACAAGTGTCTTGAGTGTGAGAAAACCTTCTATGAGAAATCTGCCCTCACAAAACACCAGCGGATTCACACAGGGGAAAAGCCCTATGAATGCAATGAATGTAAGAAGAGCTTCAGCCAGAGGTCCGCCCTTACCAAGCACCAGAGAAAGACACACAAGAAGAAAGCATCCACTAGTAGCCTTCATGGACCGATACCAGAATCAACAAGCAAGGCTCACTGAACAGCAACAAAACCCAGCAGCGGGGACGCTGCTATGGCAACAGCAGAGAAAAGTGTTCACTAACAGGTTGTAAGTGACAGAAGCTAGAGGATTAATGTTGGACAGAAAGCATAAACTATTTCAAAACATGAATACTTTCAGCAGGTATTTGATGTTGTTGAAGAAAATATATATATAATTTTAATGACTATGGAGAAAAATGTCCTTGTGGAAATATTGTCTAACTAGAAGTTATATTTCAGATGTGATGTGAAACTCATTACATGACAGATAACAGAGTGCCATCTGTTCTTAGTGGAAAATGAAACATGGATCTTTCATAACAAGGATAATTTAGGTTACTGATTCAATGGTGATGAGCAGCCATCTTTTCCCTCCACATCGTGATTTTCTTCATCGTATTCTCTCCTTGGCTTCCTAGAAGCTTATTTAATTTTTCCATAATAAAGAGGACACTGACAAAGACAAAAGAACTAAAGTGGAAAAGACCAAAAGGCAAAGTACAGGAATCAACGCAGCGGAAGTGACAAGATCGATCAGTCTCTATGTTAAAGATGGGAGTCATTTAGTGCCAAGTTAAAAACTATGTCCAGGGACTGGCAAGGTGGCTCAGTGGTAAAGGCTCTTTCTACATAAGCCTAATGACCTCAGTTTGAACCCTGGAACCCATGTAAAGGTGGAATGAGAGAACTGGTCCCACACGGTTGTCCTCTGACCCCAAGCATGCACTGTGGCACATACATGTTCAAACACACATGTTCACACACACACACACACACACACTGATAATACATACAACAAAAACTTAAGCAACAATGAACCCCCTAAATCTAACAACAGATAGTTTGTAAAAGAGAAAAAAGAAGGGGGGAAGAAGAAAGAAATTTAAAGTCAGTTGAGAAGGGACTTTGAAAGTTAAAAGATAAATACATATATTTTTAAATCTATTCAATAAAGTGTGACTTTGTAATGGTGAGTTGTGTGACTATATTATTGAATTCAACTACTGTCAAATTTTGTCTAGGGGGAAGGTGAACTTTCAAACATCCTATTTATGACCTGGGTGCAGGCCTTTAATCCCAGCACTTCAGAGGCAGAGGCAGGTAGATCTCTATGAATTTGAGGCTATCCTGGTCTACAGAGTGCGTTCCAGACCAATCAGGCCTATGGAAAGAGACTTTGTTACAAAACAAAACAGCAACAATGAAGCCTGGTTTTAAGATTATGGGGATGATGAACAAGGTACCAAGAGTGGTTGCCCCTTTAACCATTTATCTGGACATGGCATCTGCAGAGGCTAACGTTGACAGATGTGATGCAGAGCCATCCTAGGGTGGGAGAGAGAGCACACATCTCCAGAGAAAGTTAACCTCAACCTGCCTCCACTGTGCTCACAGGCACCCAGGCACACAGGCTGTTTGTCCATCTATTTATTTCTTCCTTTTCATACGTGTGCAGGAATGTTTTGCATGTGTGTGAGTACGTGTCTGGGAGTAGGGATACACAATCATCTTGGATTGCTCTTCAATCTTACTCACCGAGACAAGGCCACTCAATCAAGCACAGAACTCGCTGATGTGGCTAGTCTCTCTTGTCAGCTTGCTCAGGAAAAACCTTGTCTCTTTTGGAGGTTGGGATTACAGCCTCCCCTCCCCACACACACACTTGACACATGGGTCCTGGGGGTCCAAGACCAAGTCCTCCTCCGTACACAGAGACTTCAACTGATGAGCCATCTTCCTAGCCCCATAGCAGTGTGGATCTATAATTGTCTGAAAAATAAAAAGCCTGGCTTTTAAAAGGAATAGACAAACGATGCACAATGGTGTCTCCTTCCCAGAGAGAGGAGAGGAAAGACCTAAGCCGCGGGAGCTCAGAGGCACTGGCCCCACCCCCACGTGTGTGCCCTGCGTGACTTCCCTTTCCAGGGATCTGTCCCGTTCGTCTTGCTAAAGACCTGATGAGCTCCAGGCGGTGGTGGCGCACGCCTTTAATCCCAGCACTCGGGAGGCAGAGGCAGGCGGATCTCTGTGAGTTCGAGGCCGGGCTGGACCGATAGCCTCCGAAACAATACAGAGAAACCCTGCCTCATAAAAACCAAAAAAAAAAAAAGAAAGACCTGATGAGGTCTGTCCAGAGAACAGGTTCTGTGACACCCCACCCCCTCAGAGAAGTCAGCTGTCTTTGGGATTGTTGTCTCCTCATCTACCTGCTCCTCCTTCACACTACAGCTAATGTGAGGCAGTCAGTACACAGAGCACACAGCCGGAAGTGGCGGAGAGGACGTATCTCCTCCAAACAACTTTGGTCTGTCTCTGTGTGGTCTCCAGACCCTCTGGCCGCAGTGCATTGAGCTCCCTGGCTGTGGCACGGATGCCATGTGGGGTTCCTATGGATGGGGGTGGGGTGTGGACAACTTTGGGCACTGACTTGGGGCTTCAGCCCCTACTTCTCTGAGGCCGTAACAAGAGTACCCCAGTTATTTCTCACAGTTATGGAGGCTAAGTCCAAGACCAACGGGCTAGAACCTGGTGAGGTGTAGAGAGAAGCCTTTTCCTAGCCAGTTGCTTGGTTCCCCCCACCAGTTGCCTGGGCTCTGCCGTGTTGTAGTCCCCAAATAACACACAAGACGCTATATTAATTATGAAGTTGTTGGCCTTGCTTGTTTCTTGCTGGCTAGCTCTGACTTAAGTATTTATCCCATAATTTTTAATCTAAGTATTTCTCTTACCAGAGAAGTTTCCGGGCTTCTTAACCCTATGGCGGTTACATCTTGACTCCCTGTGTTTCTCCTACCCAGAGTCCTCCTCGACTCCTAGTCCCACCTATCTTGTTTCCCTATTGGCCAACAGTGCTTTATTGACATATACACAGAGCTTCCCCCAGTGAGGAACGTCTGTTTCATCGCCTAGCAGTAGACAGTAGAAGGAAGAGCAGAAGGGAGAGGGGGAGAAAGGGTGGAGAGAAAACAAAGCCTCGAGCTTTGGTCATTGGCATTAACCTAACCCTCATTCCCAGCACAAGGTTTTGGGGGACACAGTCAAACCCTAGCAATGTTGGGTCTGCAAGTCACACAAATTCTGAGGAAGAAGCCACCAAAGCTAGATGAGCAGAGGTAACTTTATTCCATCACCATAGAATACCAGAACTTCTAAATATTTAGGGTCACAGGCCAGTTGGGATCAGATTCTGTGACCCCAAACATAGGGAATAGGTCCTTATTAAAGCAAAAGCCACAAATGTGTGTGGGGTGGTCAGGGATGATATAAGAAAAATAATTTTTACAATTTGAGGTTAACTCCTGGGTGATGGTAATTCTGGGGATTTACAGCTTGTGACATTTTACAATTAGTAGTAAGTACAATTTGTGACTGTTGGGGATTATTTCTATAAATCCGGGGTCTTTCAGTGACAACAAGGTGTTTGTACAAGTTTAACAGGGTGGTTTGTAGAGGTTTCGTTTACACAAGTCTGTGGTTAACACAGCTCTTGACATAGCCGGTGTCTTGTCTTAATTTTTAACCAACTGTCCTCCTGTGACTGGCAATATAGGGCAAGGGTCAAGTAATAGAAGAAACTGGGTAGGTGAGCTAATGTTCAGACTTACTCCGGCCCTTCAGCAACCCTCTAAGCTGATGACACAACTACATCATCTGTATCTACTATCAAGACTCTCTCTGCTACATCCCCACCACACATAACTCATAAAACAATATAAATCAGCCGAATTTTCCTTTTCTTTTCTGCATAGCCTTTAAATGTTTACGGCTGCGCTCATTCTCCTCCTGGGCCCAGGATGAAGCCCCAGGAGGCACTGTGCTTAGGCAATAAATAACCAGCAATAAATGACTGTCTGGGTGAGTGACTGCATGGGTGAGGAAACCAGCGACACTGCTGAGGAGAGCTGCCCGGGGGAGTGGCTTCTTCAGTCCTTGGTGCATGTCTTTGAGTCCCCACCTTGTGATTCTTAGTTCCACATCAGTGACACAGCTCGGCAGAGCTAACAGGGAACCGACCGGAAGGACCATCAATCATATCCTGCTCGCTGAGGCTCGGATGATAGACGCCTCTCTCTCAGCAGTTACCCCTTTGGGGTACTAATAGAGCCGTGGCAGGCTCACCCCTGGCCACCCTCTGAAACTGGGTACCACCCCAACACACTGCTGGCCCCCACAAGGAAAATGGGCTCCTTCAGAAAAGTCAACTCTTCTGAGATCTGACTGTGAGGCCTCCTGGGTCCTCACATCTAGTTTAAACTTCCTTGGGTGTGTCACCCTCCTGAGAAGTCACAGGGAGATTCCAGCTACCCCATCCCACCCTATCTCTGGGGAACAGTCTCCCACAGCAAGCCTGCACAGACGGGGCTTGACCCAAGTCATCCTCACCTGCCTCTCCAGATTCTAGAATAGGGACATTGAAAGGTAGCAGTCCCCTCGATGCTCCTAACTTCTTCCATGAAGCCACTCCAGCCTACCCCTGGTCTTCCTTTCTGCCTCAGAGCCTAAGAAGGTGGCTTCTTCCAAAGCCCATAAAAATAGACTAGGGTGTAGCCCTCTTGCAGTGAATTTGTAACTGTGGCCACACCCCCGTGGCCATGGCCTCAGGCAGACAAAGCGGTGGCCACCTTTACAAGTTCACTGCAAGACCGCTACACTAGGGGTCTGTGGAGGCGAATTTGGGCTGAGAGAAAACTGATGCTCAATTCCAAGGTCACCAGTGAGGTGAGCATGTTGTAGTTCTGAATGTCAAAAGGTCTCAGTGGACCTCAGAGCCAAACCTAACTCCCAAGGCATGCTGGTGAGGCTAAAGCAGTATCTAAATGAAGCGGCTGAGCTCGACTTTCCCAGAGCATGTTCCCATAATGCACAGCAGAGGGCTCTGGTCACAAATGCAATGACTGCAGTCTCCCTGGACTGAAAGCTCTCGCTGCCCACGCCTGTCACTTCAGCACCCCTCCCCCCCTTTTCATTAATCTATTATACAACAGTGCACGATGCTGAGAAAACAATTCCGGAGACTTACTTGTGTCACTACACGGGTAATTAAATTGTGTAGATTTACATTTTAATTACATACTGCTTTGCTCCCGATTCTTTTTTTTTTTTTTCTTTCCCCTGAGGGATAGCACATGTATCCCCAGGAGTCAATACCACCCTCAATAGGGTGAAACTTTGTTCTTCTGTTCTATCCTGCCCTACAAAATCTAAGCTATCACATGAGTTTGTGCCCCTCCAGAAGACCATGATAGATTTAAAAACGCATATGCAACATGAGTAAATAAATGTACAACATATTTGTGATACTATGATTCCACTGAAAAGGGATCAACTAAGAGAAAAATACCTAAAAAGACTGTCTTTCAGAGCCACAATTCTAAAAATAAGTGTTGAGAAAGAGGGAGAGTAGATTAAGAAAAGGTGATGCCATTGCAGCATGCCAAAAGTTAAGGAGTTTTAATCAATTCTTCTAGAATCTGGGGTACACCATGCTGCTGCCCAGCCCCAGAAATGCCTAACTGGAGATTCTGTCATGACTCAGTATAGACTCACCTAAAAAAACAGAAACTTCAGTGTTCCACTCTTCTTGTCCCCAAGTGTCCTCCATCTCCACCAGCACTCCCAGCCTCCCCAAGCAACTGCACATCCACCAGTGGTCCTGGATCAGTCTTCACTTTTTAGTGAGGACATAGACTTGAGATCCTTTGCTGCTTACTCTTCGCTGACCTCCTTTATTCAGTGGCTGTAGCTATGGTGTAAGCGGGCCCAGCTGCTGCCTGAGTTGGCAGCAAACCTTGGGATTGTTCATAAGGTATTTGCTGAGCAGGTGTGCAGAATGCATGACCTGTGGGGCCCCAGACACTTCCACCCAGATTTCAAAGGAAAGTTAGGTAGTGTGTGGCCAGGTCAGAATCCCTAGAGGCAACCCTGGAAGTGCAATGTACGAGGCTGGCGGGGCGGGGGTGGGGGGGGTGGGG